TATATACCTAGATCGAAGACCTTGGTTTTACTATTTGCAGCATGAACAGAGTGTCATTCTGTTATACTGGAATAACAGGTAATACCGGTGTTGCTGTGTGTCTCTATAATTCATTCAAACTCTCTATATACCTTTCACGATTTTTTGTAAAATCGTCCAAACAGTAAATCCCTCTTTGGTGTTAATCTGTCTTTAAAGGATAATTCTACTCGTGATCGTTTCATGAGCTCTTAAAAGCATATGACGGAAAGCGAGCACTCATGTCGCTCTAGATGAAGCATGAATACACTCGCTCATATGCGAGAATACGCGTTCCTTTTCGAGCAAGGGAGAAGAAGCAGCAGGCGCGGATGCGTGGGTGAAAAACGGTGTTGCTAGAGCTGGCCCTAACCCATATATCGTTGGAACCAGAATAGAGAGCGAACGAATAATAGAAGGGTGGATAATATTACCATTGCCAATACATTAATAACGCTACATTGTCAAAACCTGATGACACGTAGAGAAAGAAAAACACTCTCGATGAGATTATAGTAGTGTAGTAATTTCTATAAAAGTACTGTATATAATAACAGTGATATCGTCTTGATTCATCTTTGATTTGATCATTCGTATTGATCATCTTTTCGATCTTGAAAACGTTACTTCGAAATATTATTCTAATATTCGGTACGTACGTCCTTCGTGTTGGATGGCAGAATAACTGTTCCCACGGGTCCTCTGCCGAAATCCACTCTTCGAGCATGTAACTGGCATTGTTTGGCAGTGCTTGTGTCTAAAACTAGCAACGACCGCGACATGTGCACGTAGACATCCCGGCGTCAAAACTCATCGCATTATGTCATACTTTTAATTCGACACGCAGTATCACGCATCTCGATGACCTTCGAATCCTTTATTAACGAAAATGCTATTTTCTGTGATTTTGTCGAAGATCATTAGTCTTTGAACATGAATTGTCCAAAAAATAATGAAGTGATAATGAATGATTATATGATCGCAGATAATAGATTGATTTAGATAATATGTTGATTCTCGATGCATCAATTTCGCATCAATTATGCAACATTTAAAATAATTAAAGTATCGATTAGTCCGCAGCAGGTGTGTCAATATTGGCCTGCCATCACGAAACTAGCGAAAAGTAGCGAAAAGTCGTTAGATGTACATCGTTCGAACGTTTATCTTCATATCATTACGGACGTTTAAGTAGAATATTTTTCCTGAAAAATGATAATTCTGGAAAATCTTGGTCTTTCTGAGCGAGTTTCTCGTATATTTGGATATATTTAGACTGTGTATCCCTGGCACAGGTTGACGTAAGCTAACGACTAATTATGTTACCCTTTTAACGCTGGACCACGACGAAGTGCCAAGTGAATCATAATTTTTGTACATTTCATTTTAAATTCTAAGGTTTTTCAAGAATCATTGGTACTCTCATTGTATAACATGTTCTTCGAGATTTAAAAATATCTCTCGTTGTAACATGTTGAAAAAAATAGGATAATGCGGCAATGTCACGAAAAAAGTTATTTGCATCCAATGAATTTGTATTCAAGCTTGTGCACTAACTACTAACTTCAGTATTAAATTGCTAAAATTCCTATTTAGAACGTGAATAAATAATAATTATCAATCACTATGTAAGCTATATAGGAACTAAATATTTGTTATCTTTTGAAAAATCTTAAAGAAACATTCAATCGTAATTCAAAAGAAGCAGAAAATGCATGCGTCGAAGCGCGCCTGGCAAGTTGGAAATTGAAGAACCTGTTGATCCATTCGAAGCCACGTGGTTCGATTAGGTATATCATTCCTGTTCCGTTCATCTCCATCATGTTTTCATGATTCTTTTTATAATTGCGAAAAATTCATTTGTTGTTTGAACTATACGCATATATTTGCTTGCATATATCGAACGGGTTGTATCTTATCCCACCAGAGTGCAAAATGAACGCCACCATCGCCACAATGGTGTTAATCTATTTATCTGACTAACAACAAACTTATCTTGTGACTCATTCACCGATGAATTCGCGCTAAGACTGGCAATGAGAGGGCCGATCGCCCTCTCCGCTCTCGCGTCTATCGTCTATCTCCGACAAGCTCGATTTTCATTGCCGGATTAATGGTTCGACAGTTTTATTATCGTGTTCTGTACGTCAAAAGAATTTCGAATTTTTTTTCTTTTTTTTTAACAACTTCGATCAAGACGTTATTTTATCATGTTTCATTGTATTTTCTCTGAAATCCTTACGAAAAAAGTAGAATTTATATTTTGATCAATTAATTTATTTTTACATCGCAATAAGTGGACGTACAAATATTTGTAGATGAAAAGACAATGATTAAACATTTTCTTTTGACATTTTGGTTCTTGTGATGTTCCTTGTGCGTGGTTCAATTTTTCGCAATTATGAATCGTGAATGAATCAATTGTCCGTATTAATTGATATTCTGTATTATCAGTGCGCTGAAAGATAAAGGGATGCTCAAAATGGTGCTCCTCGATAAACTGTTGATCGCATCATTTTTATTTTAAAGTTAGCTGGAAAAAATTAAGAGAGACACGGAAAGGGATATTTTAAAGAAATGGAAAAGTTTAGGGCGATCGAAGAATGTTTTTTATATCAAAATACTTTTATATCAAAATATATTTGTGCATAGACAAGAAGACAACCGTGACAGGTAATCTCGTACCTAACATACATCAGTCATACGCCAAGGAGCGCGTGTACATGCACGTACACGCTCGTGTGCGGACATGCATGATATGCGCGGCATACACATGTAAGTGATGTGCGCGTACACACGTTTGTTTGAGTCGTGCATCACCGAGAGACCCGATAAACGTCTTAAAAAAAAAAAAAAAAAAAAAAAAAAAAATAGAATAAAATAAAATAGAATAAAGAAGAGAAAAAAATATTAAACTTGTCGCACAAGTACGTATATAAGGTAATAACAAATATCGTTT